TAGTAATGGTGCTAATATCCTTAATATGAGGGAGGCATTACAGATAATGAAAAGGGTGTGGGATTTGAAGACAGCCCCACCTAGATCTTAGCAAAAATTTGAAGTGACAACTCAGTGCACTTTGGATTTCTCATCAGTAAAATGGCAACCTATGGAATGGGCAAAAATACTTGCAAACCATATGTCTGCTAAATGGTTAATGTCCAAAATATTGTAAGAACTCCTACAACCAAATAGTAAAAAAAACAAAAACCAACCCCCCCACAATTAATAACATAATTTAAAATGTGCTAAGAATTTAGACATTTTTCCAAAGAAGACATGCAAATAAACAACAAGTATGTGGAAGGTGCTCAACATCATTATGCATCAGGGAAAGGCAAATCAAAACCACACAGAGATGTCATTTCACACCTGTCAGATTGGCTATTATTATTTTTTTAAAAAGTTAAGTGTTGCTAGAACATTGGGGTGCATAGGTTCTTTTGGGTTGGTGTTTCAGAATCTTTAGGGTATAATCCCAGCAGTAGTATTGCTGGGTTAAAAGGCAGTTTCATTTTAGTTTTCTCAGGAAATTCCATATTGTTTTCCACAGACAATCATACTTGAACATCAATAAAAAAAAAAAGGTAAATGTTGGCAAAAATGTGGAGAAATTGGAACACTTGTACCCTGCTGGTGTAAATAAAAAATGCATTAGCCACTGTGGAAAGCAGTATTAAGTTTCTTACAAAATTTAATAAACTTAGAAAAAAGAACTACTTTTAAAAAATTAAAAAATAGAACTACTCTATGGTCCAGCAATCCACTTTTTGGTATTTACCAAAAAAATAAAATGAAATATAAATCAAGATCTACAAGGCATACTATCACTCATATGTTCATTGCAGAACTATTCACAATAGACAAGATCTAAGAACAATCTGAATGGCCACTGACAACCCAGATAAATGAATAAAGAAACTGTATTAATATAAATAATGAAATATTTTTCAGCCTGAAAAAGGGAATTTCTGACATTTGCAACAGCATGTATGAAGCTCAAGGACATTCTACTAAATGAAATAAACCAGTCACAGAGTGACAAATATGTACTGCATGATTCCACTTGTACAATATATCTCAAAGAGTCAAATTCATAGAATCATAGAGTGGAATGGTGGCTTCCAGGGGCTAGTGGGAGGGGAAAATGGAGAATTACTAATCAAAGGGTTTGAAGTTTTAGTCTGGCAAGATAAGTAAACTTTGTACAACATTGTACCTAGAGTCAACAATGATATATAAACACTTCAAAATCTGTTAAGAGAGCAAATATTATGTTAAATGTTCTTTCCACAGTAAGAAAAGGAGTCCTGAGAGACACAAGTGTTGACTGCAAAAATGGAAATACTATCAGATTCTTGATATAGAAAACCTAATTCTTCCTAAATTACTTGGTCATTTGAATGCATTTGATAATGATAAACTCACATTTTGGTGTATGTTAATTTAAAAAGTATGTCTAAATTTTTTATTAACATGTATAAAACTTAAAAGTCAAACGGAGGAGTAGTGGTGAGATTACTCCTGAGAAGTGAAGGGACTCGGACCCTACAAAGGACACTTACACTTCCTATGATTCTATTCCATTAGTATTAACAAGTCCTCAGAGATTGGGATAACATGGACCAATTTGGCTAATTATAAGCTCTGTGCATTAAGCTCTCAAGCCCACACAACTTCAAATAAGCAGCTTGTGCCCTGCAGCCTTTCACTTTATTGGATCCAGTACAGTTGGATATACTTGTGCGTCTTCTGTTCTCAGAGTCATTGTATGCATCAGGGGGTCCATGCCTGACTCTGTCTTCCTGCAGTCCTGAGAACGGGGCCTGAGCCTTCATCCCTCACCAGGCATGGGAAGGGTGATGATGGGTCATCATTCCTTTGTCATGCCCCAGCACGGAGACAGCCCAGTTCAGTGAGTGCTATTAGAGATACTGGATACAGGAGGAACTGGGGGAACATTGTTTCTTCATCATCAGGATAAGCAGCATGGTTGGATTGGGAGGCCCCAATACACAGTTTCAGCTCAGAGGCCTATGTAGTTTATGCTCTTGGTGCTGGTGGGGATCTGAGAGCTCTGATTCAAAATTCTGTTTCCCTTCCACACTGGTTGTAGCTCCTACAGTTATCTTTCTCACCGGAGCAGGAAATGAATCCCTCTAAACTGTCCCCTAAGCCTTTCAAACTAATGATGAAGATGAGTGGCCAAATGATGCCAGATGACCACATATATGATATCATGAGCATTTATTAAAGAGTCCCAAGTTTCAGGCTCTGAATTAGGTGCTATATGCAGCTTGTTTGTTTAAATTTTTTTTTCCTTCAATCTATACCAGAGAATATGTCTACCTATGAGAAGGAGGGAGGGAAGGAGGGAGGGAGAGAGAGAGAGAAACATCAATATCAGTTGTCTCCAGAGTGTCCTCTGAGTGGACATTGAACCCACAACCTTTTGGAGTACAGTGTGATGCTCCAACCAACTTGAGCCACTTGGCCAGGGCAAGGATTATAAATTTTTAATATAACTTCTAGTAGATCATGGGATTAAATGGAATGAAGCCAGGTTTTAATCAGTCTGACTCCAGATATGGGGAACCTGGCTAGTATTCTCTTTGTTAACCCAGCCAACCATTTCACTTTCTGGTTATTTGACACAGAAACCCTCTGCTCACTGTGCTTTTCTCTTTGGAGTTTACTCAGAGACCTCAGTGGGAGGCCTCTGTGAATTATGGTAGTGACATAAGGGGTTATTGGATTTTTTATGAATAGTAATGCACTTTACATCCCAGTTTGAAAATCTGAGATAAGGAAATATTTTCCCCTATATAGATATGAGTTTTATATGGAGCTATCATGGAATTACTATAATGAAATACTTTAGAAATGTTTCAGACTCTCTACCTTAATAAGCATGTAGTTGACAGCAACTGTTATTTTTTTAATTGGGAAAACAAATGTAGTCAGTAAAAGGTAAAATTGAACTTGGAAGATTTTTACAACACAAACAACTATTCACCGTACAAGAAATTCTTACTTGTATGATATGGAGAGAGGCAAAAGAACTTTCATAGGATTGCTAAAATAAAGAATTGATAAATAAAATAAAGTTAATTCCTTAGGTAACACTATGTATGAGTTAAAGTATTACATCTAGATATATGTACTTCACAGAAAGATTTAAAAACAATATTGTAGTTAACAAGAACATTTAAGAGGCCATGTGTACAGTAATGTACTACTTATGTATATTTTCAAGAAAACTCTTTAGAAATACATAAATGAACACTAACATTACAGAAACACTAGCAGAAAACACACTCACCAAATTAGTGACAGTGTTTGCTTCTGGGGACAGGTATGTAGGGTAATGAGATTGTGCAGGAATTTAAAGAAAACAAATTTTATTGGTAATATTTCAAATTTCTATAAAATATGAATTTGGAAGCAAATATTTTCAAAGGCTTATATTCCTAATATTAAATATAATTATAATAGATAATGTTATTTTCTATTTTCTAAGGGTCTGTAAATTATTGTAAGGCACTGTTACTACCACTAAGAACTGTGCATGTAGAGATTATTGTTTAACTGCTTCTAGGCTGCAGCCAGGGCATCAGTACATTTTACAATATTCATGGTTAAATGTAACAATCAAGTAGGACTGGGACCCACAGGTCTGAGTATTTTAGGTTTAATTTAATTTCTTAAAACAACCCAATAATTTCAATTATTATCCCCATTTTACTGATGTGAAAACTTCCCAGGTGTTTCTTACATGGGTTTCTGTACCTTTCTCTTTTGTAATGTATTTTTCCCAAATGAAATTATTTTGTGATCTGTCAGGAGAAATGAAGATCAGAGTTGGTTTCAGGAAGTTGATTTAAGGAGGATTGTATTTAAGAAAAATTGATTTAAAATAGAATTGATTAAAGGAGAAGGCATAAGAAAACTTATGACCTGGTTTGGGGGCTTCCCATGGTCCTAAATTCCTTGATTGTTAATAAGAGTCGGATTCAATGGGGACACTCTATTTCCAAATATTTAGGTTTAGAAATACATGTAAGTACTTTCACCAAGCCACTGCAAAACAGAGGCCAGAACAACAACAACAAACAAGAAGCAGTGTTAAACACCAGTTGTTTTCCTGAGATTCTGTAGCATTGATATGGAATCCTACATAGGCTGAGAAGTAGGAAGCAAGTTTTTTTAAAAGTTACTAATTATTGTTTAATGATTGAGAGCTGCACGGTACACTGATGCCATGTCTGGGGATTAGTGATGCTGTATGATTTTGTGCGTTTAACCAAAACACAATTACCAAAATTTGAAGTCTACCAGGCCAAGTGAGGAGTTATATTGAAAAGGTTTTTTAAAAGAAAACCCATATATTTTAGTGAGCACATATTTCCATAGAGGAGAGAAGCCAGAAATCCAAAAGAGTGGTAAGAACTGATGAAGATAATTAGCACATAAAAAATGCCTTCAGATTATAAACACTTGACTTTAATTTAAAAAGCAGGTAATATAGTTCTAGTAATTATACATTTATCAATGTTCTAAATTTAGGAACTTGTTTTGTATTGTATTTGAAAAAAATAATGGCACTGTTAAGTGTTTAATTAGAATCATTTTTTTTCTTAAAGGGAGAAGGATATTTTTCATTCAATGTGTTTCTCTGAAAGAGTAGGCTGTATTTCATGGTGTTCATGGATTTGCTATTTCTAAATGTCCTGTTCCTTTAACATTTTCAAGCAAGTTCTTTAAAGTAAGTGTGTATAGAAAAAGTGAATAACATGAAAACCAATGAAGAAACAATTCTAAGAAATTTGGATTTGATACACTGAGAAATATTGCTGTGGGCACTGGGGTGTATGAACCCAGTGTGAATACTTGTAAATTGTTTGACTCAAAAATATAGCCACAGCGCTGGATCTCCATTTACTTGTTTCCCCTTTTCCAACCTTCTTTTCTTATTCAAAAGCTGTCCAGGCTACATAGAACCACAAAATCTCACACGTGTTTCAGAGTTCTTCCTCATGAGTCTCTCAGATGATCCGGAACTGCAGTCTTTGCTCTTTGGGCTCTTCCTGTCTATGTACCTGGTCACTGTGCTTGGGAACCTGCTCATCATCCTGGCCGTTAGCTCTGACTCCCACCTGCACACACCCATGTACTTCTTCCTCTCCAACTTGTCCTTGGCTGACATCGGTTTCACTTCTACCACCATCCCAAAGATGATTGTGGACCTCCAGACTCACAGCAGAGTCATTGCCTATGGGGACTGCCTAACACAGATGTCATTTTTTATGCTTTTTGGATGTTTGGATAGTCTTCTCCTGACCGTGATGGCCTATGACTGGTTTGTCGCCATCTGTCACCCTCTGCACTACTTGGTTATTATGAACCAACGCCTCTGTGGTTTGCTGGTTTTGGTGTCATTTTTCATGAGCCTTTTGGTTTCCCAGATGCACAATTCAGTTGTGTTACAACTTACCTACTTTAAGGATGTGAAAATTTCTCATTTCTTCTGTGACCCTTCTCAACTCCTCAACCTTGCCTGTTCTGACACCTTCACCAATAACATAGTCATGTATTTTGTTGGAGCCATCTCTGGTTTTCTCCCTATCTCAGGGATCTTTTTCTCTTACTATAAAATTGTTTCCTCCATTCTGAGAGTCCCATCATCAGGTAGGAAGTATAAAGCCTTTTCCACCTGTGGCTCTCACCTGTCAGTTGTTTGCCTGTTTTATGGAACAGGCCTCGGGGTGTACCTCAGTTCCACTGTCTCACTTTCTCCAAGGAAGTGTGCAGGGGCCTCAGTGGTGTACACTGTGGTTACCCCCATGCTGAACCCTTTCATCTATAGTCTAAGGAATAGGGACATCAAAAGGGCCATGCAGAAGCTCCTAAGCAAAAACAACCTGATCTCAGTACTTGCACCATCCATTTGAAGTGGAGGTTGGAAAATGCAGCAGAAATAAATGTCAAGACTTAAAAAAAATCCTGTCTCTCTCATCACATAATTTTTGTAGCTCTCATGTCGTATTCTGGGATCATTCGTATATCATAATTGCTGCCAGACTGAATCTTTTAAAGAAATTTTTACTTATTGATTTTAGAGAGAGAGATTAAGAGAGAGAAACATCAATTTGTGTTCCTTTTATGTATGCATTCATTGGTTAATTTTTGAAATTTTATTTTTTTTGAGAGAGAGTGCATAGTATATCAATTTGTTGTTCTGCTTATTTATACATTCATTGGTTGGTTCTTGTATGTGCCCTGACAAGGGATTGAATGCACAACCTTGGCATATAAGGACAAAGCTCAAACCAACTGAGCACCTGACCAGCCTTGCCTGACTGCATCTATGGCATTGATGGAGACTTCCGTAGTTTAACAATGGGGACCCAATCATTCCAGAATGATGATCAATTTTTAAAAAAGATTTTATATTTATTTATTTTTAGAGAGAGGAGAAGGGAGAGAGAAGAGAGGGAGAGAAATATCAATGTGTGGTTGCCTCTCATACGCCCCCTACTGGGAACCTGGCCAGTAACCCAGGCATGTGCCCTCACTGGGAATCGAACTGGAGACTCTTTGGTTCACAGGCTGGTGCTCAATCCACTGAGCCGCACCAACAAGGGCAGAACAATTTTTTTATAGGCAAAATTTAAAGTTCTGACAGCTCTGTGTATTTTCCATACAAATTTATCATCTATCAACTCTGTTTATGCAGATATGTGTGAGATCCCTGTCTCTGGTTCTCAACCTGGCTTTTACTGAAAACATCTGAGAAGCTTAAAAATGCTGATCATTGGACCTTATCACCAGTTATTCTGATTTAATTGGATTGGGGTATGGTCTAAGCATGAGGATCTTAAAACTATCCTGTTGGTTATAGTGTGCAGTGAAGTTTGCAATCTACTGATCTAAGTCAAACCTTTTTTTCCACAATGGCCTTTGTATCTTGGGTCCTAACTGCTCACAGAAAATCCTAGGGAGATCAGAGCTCAAAGGGGGAAAAAGATACAAAGAACCCATTGTAGCAATAAGCAATGTATTTTTCCAATTATTACAGATAATATTTCTTCAAACACACTCTCTCTATACCATACAGCTGGGCATGTGTGCTTATAATGAAGTTATTGTCTCTGCTACAAACTCTCACTTCCATGCTTCATGATTCTGGATTGGGGATCTTGAACCACTGCTCAATTTTCCATCTTGTGTTCATCTTACATACTTTCAATAGTGGTAGCAAAAGTCAGTATGTTGTAAAAACTCAACTTTTTCCCTTAACATCCCTTAAGTCCTTGGTGTGGTATATTCTTCCTTCACTTATAATTGCTATGTTACTGGTTTGTTCTTCTTTGCCTTGCAGTCCTTTAATAACTATTTAAGTAATTTCCTATATTAAATTTTCTTCATCAAAATGACTGGTTTCTCTTTTCTTGACTAAACTCTGGCATTGTGATATGGGGTATAAAAGTATTTTCTGAGGTGTCTGCAACTGGAAGATTGCAAAGTATGCTCAGGAAGAAAGGAGGTTGTAAATGATGTGTCTTAGCCACAGATATACACCTGGAAAGTCAGTGGTGATATCATATTGATAATTGCTGTGTTTTCTAGTGATGTCTGAGAATCATAAACTCACCAAGTCATTATGGTTAATTTATCTTTATTTCACATTACTCTAGAATTCTAAAGGGCCATGTTGTCAGCAAGGGGGAGTTCTTTTCTCTTAGTACTAATGGTCTGGTTAAGACCTCAGTTTATTACCATGTTTCCCTGGATTCTGTCATAAAAACTCAGCCTTTGGGTTCCTTTAGAGTTCTATAAAATGGTATCTAAAGTTTTCTTCATGTCAATGACAAATAAGTCTCCACATTTCTCAGCAAAGAATCTCTGAATCAGGAAGCCTGCCTGGGTAGGATTTAGACGGTTACAACACACCGTTATCTACATACATCCCACTTTATCCACTAGAAAAAAAGCCCCAGGTAAACCCAAACCACATTTTCTTATAGTTTTCAAGAGCTGAGAACACAAAGAAATACAAAGAGAATAGATTCTGGAGTGAGTTGATTCTTTTCTAGTTAGCAGAAATCAGAACTTCTGGGGACATTTGTTAAATTTGGCTGTGAAATGGCTGCAAATTGGCTGGATGTTGAAGGAGGAGCTGTCCTGGTATAACAGAAACCAAGGAGTCTACTTGAGACTATGTGACCAGAAGTAGTAGAGTGAGGTCTGCAGAAGTGTCCAATGGAGACGAAGGTCTACCCATTTGCCAAGTTGTCTCCAATGAATTTTTCTTGAGTTTTTGTTTTGTGATGAATTCAGGACTGTGCTGGAAGGCCAACCCAAGAAACATCTAAAGAAGTGAAAAAAAGTTATCCTTAAAGACAAATAATAACTGAAAATTGGAAATATTGTCACATTCTTGGTATAAAAGACCTAATTCTTCATAGATTTCATGATTAATAAAATGGATTTACAGATATCAAAATCACACATAAAGTGGTTAAACTGAAAAAAAAAGCCTGAGTTTTATGTTAAGATCTTGTAACTTGGAAGTAAGAAGCAAGGAGTACAAGTGACCTTCCTCCTCAGGAGAGGAAGGACCAAGATCCTCCAAGGATATTCACTTTTTTTCTTTTCCACTTCCATCAATATCAGCAAACTCCCAGAGATTAGGACAACATGGACCAATTGGCTAATTAGGAGATTTGTGTATTGAGATTTATACCATTGTAAATAATTGGCTGGTGTCTTCAGTCTTTAGTTTTGCTAGTCTTAACTATAGTGGCTCCATATCTGTGTCTCCTTTCTTTGTGGGCATATGCATCAGAAAGTCCCAGCTGGAGTTTGTTTTCCTGTCAGTCCTGAGGAGGGACCCCAATCCTTCATTGAACACAAGGCAGAAGGGCAGCCTATCCATCTGTACTCCTTGGTCATGTTCCAGCAGAGATGCAGTCTAGCCCAGTAAGTGCTGTGGAAGATGGTGATTGGAGGAGGAAGGGTTGGGAGCATTATTCCTCCTCAACCAGACAAATGTGACAGTTGGAATAGGTAGATGAGAGGGCACTAATATACAAATTTCAGGTCAGAACTCTATGGAGTTTGTGTTCTTGGTTCTGCTTGGGATATGAGAACTCTCATTTAGAGTTCTGCTTCCACCCTCATTGGTTCTGGCTCTGGTTGGAGTCTTTCTCACCACAGCAGAAAATGGGTCTCCCTAAACTCTCCCCTAAACACTCCAGAGTGATCATGATGGTGATGATGAGCAGGATGACATTAACCATAACATCATGTACTTCTGTTGAGGGCTTCCTAAGTGCCAGGCTCTGGGGTAGATGTTTTATGTATTTTATTTGGTCTCATCTTCATAAGTTCTCCCAAATTATAAATGCATATTATTATTATTTTATATAAAAGTGAAGGAGTATGGTATTTTATGTAACTTGTATCAGGTCATGAATTAAAAAGAGTTGAAGCCAGGTTAGAATCTGGGCAGTCTAACTTAAGACTCAGGGAATCCAGCCAGATTTCTCTGTCAATGCAAACAGTCATTTAATTTCCCTGTCAATCCTGACCAAGAACCCCCTGCTCACTATGCTCTTCCCTCTGGAGTTTTCTGGTAGACCACAGTGGAAAGCCATAGGTAGCATTTGCTGCATCAGCTATAGAAAGGATGGTTGAGACCACAGGAAAAGGTCATAAAAAGAATTGGCACATGATAATTTAGGGCAGAGCTTTCTCTTGTACTCGCTCTTGTATTTCACTTCAACTGTCTATGTCTTCCTCTGTTCTTATAATCAACCCACTCAATTAAAAAGGATACAAGGACAGAGTCTTGGGGTTCATTCCTTCTCAGGATACTGAAAACAGTTAAAAAATGTACCTCAGATGTACCTGTGGTTAAGATCTCTGTGCCTCTGCTTAAAACTTTCAGAAAGTCTGGGCACAATTAAGTTTAGTGCTTCAGAGACTGACAATTTAATTCCAAATCCGGTCTGTCTAACTTATTATTAGTGTGTTATGGGGGAAGGTCTTAGTACCTTTGAAACTTGGGATTGTCATCTGAGTTGAGTCCTAGTTGACACAACTTCACTGAATAAAGATTAAACAAAGAATGGATGCCCTCCATGTAATAAATAAGTGATGGATGCATAAGGTAAGGGCAAAATAAATTTTAGATATTTATTATTAATAGTAATAAAGCTAATTCTCATGTCATTTGACTTAAGTATCTGGTGACTTGAAGTTATGGTGCCCTTACTTCCTTGACAGGACATTTTACTTTTGTTTATACAAGTGCATCCTCCATATATGGAGGGAAATGACTAAGTCTGATTTGTTTCTGATCCATCACTCCAAGCCTATACTTTGTTGGCACAGAGGAGGCATCAAAAACAAAAAAAATCTCTGTTAAATATTGAATAGACTTTTCCATTGTTTGATATAGAAACAAAGTGGGAAATATGGATTCCAGACATTTGACCATTCATGCCAGTGTTTTCATCCTTTTCAGGAATGTCCCATAGGACTAGAGACAAAATAAAATAGTGTTTGTGTCTATGTCATAAACTTTTAGTGAGATCTATTATTTTCCATTTAATATTATAAATAATATTCAATGATTTAAAAAAAGAGGCAGAAAAGAAGGGAGCAGTTAATCTTATTGTATGAGCTGAGCACATTTTAGGATTTTGTGTCATTCCATGCTCTAGGGACAGGAAACCTGTCGAAACTAGGGACAGGAAACCTGTTGAAACGTTTTATGCCATTTCTACCATAAAAATGGCATTACATTTTTGGAATTGTATTTTGTTACTAAACACATTATTTCAATAATGATTGAAATTCTTTGTTAAAAAATGGCCAAATATTTCTTAAGTTCCAACCTTCCCTTAGGTGCAACAGATGTTTTAGAGATGGATGTTTAACTCTT